AACTATCTGGTATCGGAGGGGTTCGTCCCGTATCGATTCGACCGAGTGAAATTCGCCAGATATGCCCGTATTTTCGGCGGAGATAATGCTTCGATGATTGCACGGGACGTCGCGGCAACGCTCGTCTTCCTAAATACACCTTCTTCTTTCGGTCCGAATAGAGAATCGTGTACTACGTTCGCAAGCTTAACGATCGACACGACACGACAGGGGAAAAAAGGGGAAACGTTACTGAAGATGGGAAGAAAGGGGAGAGTAAGAACTGTAACGAACGAATGTGATTATCGATCTCTGGAGGCGGGCAGAACGAGCGAAGTAGGGCGAGATTCCTCCGTCATCCCGGCCCTCTTCCCCCAAAAACTCTCCGGATCCTTCTTTAGCCCGTGATGCCTCGCGAGGAATTCACAGTCCGCTCAATTATAGACCGACCGCTCTGAATATTGGGTCAAAGGTCGAGGGGTCTCGAGAATATTAATGCGGAAGGTCGAGACCCCGGTTCGATTAATCGTGTTCTAACTAGACGCGACTTGTTTCCTTTGTTACAGATACAGCGATGTGCGCCAACGTCACCACGGATCCATCCAACTACTTTTCCAATATCAACGGTAATCTCACCAAGATCGTCTGGGCACATGCCGTGAACAGCAAGGCTGAGCTGAGCAAGGCGCTCGCATCAGGTGGGTCGATCGCGTAATTCGAGTGCTTCTCTCCTCCATCCGCGTTCCTCCGTCCGAATCTCCAATCAAACGGATTCTGCAATTGCGCCATTTGTCTTTCTCTCCGGTCGCGAAGCATCGCTGGAATAATCGTGTGGAACAACCTATTGCATTCATATTCGCGGCAGCTGCTTTCGGTCGGTCGTCTTTAATTCCGCGGGAACACGGCATCCCTGCTGCGCGTCTCGTTTCCAGCCAGCGGGGGAATTTCAATCGTGTCAAAGGTCCGCCCGGTCGATAATCATCGTCGATCGAACGATTCTTGCAATTAGACAGAACCGCCGCGGAGAGTGTAGAGGTGTGTTTACCGATCGATTGGCGAAAGAACGGAATGTACGCGGTGGGATCCTGATGAAAAATTCATCTGCCACGTTGGAATTCGACGCGAACGCGTTATCATTAGCTAACGAACTTTTACAAAGCGAGCGTCTCTCTTTGCTCCCGCATCGGCACATTTCTCGGAGCGTGATATCATTCGGGGAACGTGCCCGTTCGTTGAACGCCGTTACGTGAGACGCGAGTCCTCCGGCTCGGATTATTCTCCTTTCTGCGTCTACGTCGTATTCGTAGATAGGATAGGAATCCTTGTTACGTGTTTAATCAGAAAGAAAAGTAATCTGTAGCGCAGGGTTGAATTAGAAAATTGATCTCGCGTTCGTGGCAGCAAGTCGAAGGTCGAATTACATTTGGGACGCGCCTCGTCACCGCACCGGATGGTGCGTTCGCCTAATTAATATTCGGGAAGACGCGTATCGTGGTCACGTCGTTGCAAGATTTTCGAGAAACAAACCGGTTGTTACCCCAGCTGAATCTCAATGAATCTCGCAGCAGCCACAATGCTGTTAAAGTGGTCGTAGTGGAAGGTCAGTCTTCGACTACGCACGACCTTGATCCCCCGATCCCGTGATTGATCGCGCGATACGCAAACGACGTCCTTCGCGAGAAATTCCTTCGAGATCCACTGTCCTTGCAATTACGCCCGCGATCAATCGAAAAGTGCTACAACACGCTGGAAAAGCGTGTGGACCTGCAGCCGGGCCTGCAGAAATATGTGTCAAGGTGGCTGCGTGCGCCTCCTTCCAGAATCTCCTACCAAACTGGCAGACTTTTGTCGATTCTCTGGAAAAGCTCTGGAAAAGACGCGTCTTCCCTGGTGGAAGGGATCTCAGAGTCTGCTCGAGGAAAGAGAGGAGGAGGATGGGAAAAAAGTTGTACTTAACACCAACCAGAGAAAATTCAATCCGTCTCTCGCTGCTTTCCAGCCAGTCTTTAGACGTGATCGATATTCGTCGCACGTGTCTGAAACTCCACCTCTCCCTTCAACTGCTACACAACTCTATCCAGCTCTATCCTCCTTCTCCCCTTTTCTTCCCTTCCTCGTCTCTGTCCAACTAACTACGCACGCTTACAAGCGATCCTCTTGTTTAAAGACTCCGTCATGATGCTGGAAGCTGACGTGGTGCTGGGAAAATGGAATTCCAGCGAAAACCAAAACGTTAACGAGACGATACCGGTAATGGCGCATCCACCAGCGACCGAGAGCGATCTGTCGCTGGAGAAATTCGTGAGCGGCGTCAACGAGAAGAACGCCACCAAGGGCGTGAAGCTCGACTTCAAGAGCATCGAGGCCTTCAACGCGAGCAAGTCTATCTTGGATAAACTTCTCCATGACGTACGTATACACCCGTTCCGCGTATTTATAGACCGGCTTTCGCATCTTTGCGGAGCCCTTCGCGCTCCGTTTCACCGATTCGCCGCTGCAAAAGGATATTCCAGGACGGGCAGCGTTATTTTTACCGCGATGTACCGATCGCACACACCGTTCCTCGCGGCCAACAGTTCCCATCTGTCGCTAATCTTCCCCTTCTTTTCAGCTCAAATTCCCCGTCTTTCTCAACGCGGATATCCTCGCCGGACCAGTGAACGCGACAGCTACGCCTGTCGACGCAAAGGCGTTCTTAGCTCTAGCCAAACCGTACCGTAATTGTACGGTGTCCGTTGGATGGACTACCAGGTGAACGTTTACTTGGGAAACAGTGCATCTGTCGACCCTTGTGTCAATAGCCACGACTGTCTACTTTATCGTCTCCTACGTTCAAATCTTTTACCGAGGAGATGATAAAATATGCACAACAAGTGTATCGACAGAAGGGTTAATCTCGATCGATTTGCTCATTCTACCGGGACGATTTTTAGGTACGGTACCAAAGACAACGTCACCGAGGGCGGGTACACGGAGGAGCAGATCAAGAAGATGATCGACACGCTGAAAGAGCAGAACGTTACCCAGCCGATAACTTATCCTGTGAGAGCCGGTCTAGCCGCGAACGATATCAGCGTGATCAAGTCTCTGATGGAGAAGAGCTCCGACATGAAGAACGTAACCCTGACCGTGTGGTCGAGCGAGGGCGACAAGGTTGACGCTGCGAAGCTGTCGACGTTGATCAAAGATATCGGCGTGACGAAGGTGTACGTGGACGTGCCAGAAGACCTGATGAAGAGCCTCCAGTTGTCCGGATCGTCGTCTGGCGTGAGCGTCGCCTCGATCACTCTCGTCGCGTCCCTCGTCGCCGTTCTTCTCTCAACGATATTGTGAACACCTTATCGCCACGGAGTTTTCGTCGCTTTTCGCGTACACTCGAGAGATTTCCCTGGGACTTCTCTCGACCGTGGGAAATGAGCGAGGCTGATGTTTTCAACGGGGTGGGGTAGGGGGGTAATATGGGTATCGAATCGCGATCGAAGGGTTCTAAATCAAAATGAAACAAAGGAAAAAGAAAATTATTAAAAAAATACCAAAAAAAAACAGAAGCATTATCGAATATGTAACAGAAGCCGGTTGTCGTCTGGAACACGGGCGTTGCCCGCGCGACACTCTACACGTTTTCGATCGTGAATAATGTACTTTTTTTAGCCTGTAAGCTTATTCGCAAACGTTTTTTCTAAGTATTTTAAGGGAGCTTTCTTAGGGTGATTGTGGCGAGAGAACAAACCCTCTTGCTTTATCGTGCACACCATCGACGGTGTATTTTCATTCTTCTTATTTCTCTCCCTCCTTCTTTTCTACCAAAGATGGCTGTTTCTTTGATCGTCACATCTCGGCACCTTTTGTAGATTTCTATGCTCGATTGCGACGTGATGAGAGAAAAACCGACGTCTCGATTCTCCACACGGACATAGGAATAATAAGATAGAGTAAGGATATAACAGTACCAGCAGGAAAACGTTTACACTGGCTCAGTCTAATGTTGATGAAATTTATAAGCTGACGTTTTAGCAAAAGAGATTGGTGAAATTTCCGAACGTGTCGTTTCAAATACATTTTGCAATCGGTGTCTCGTGATAGGGGAAGAAAAAAGGGATTTTAATCGAAACATCTCTGGCGCACGTATCACACACAGACACAACAAACATACATACATACATACATACAGAGGCACGAACACAGAAAAGCACACGCGCACACGTTTTTGCACCTTTTGAGACGCGCTGAATTTTTTTTTTCTACATCGCTGGCGCGTCCAATATTGGCGAGACTTACTCTCGTAGCGTGTTATATCGTACCCCTTTAGTGTTCACCGACGTATCTCCTGTACCTGTCTTTCAACATATCTCAGACATAGGTGCAGACAAAACGGTATTAGACTCTGCATAAGCTGTAACGTGTATATCTATAAGCCAAAGGATTATGAATGCGTAATTACGGTGCCGGCGCACCGCGTTTGATAACGAAACAAATAAAACTATCTGCAAAATTGATCGATCTTTCCTCCGAAACAATTACTTCGACGTCTCCTTTCTTTCTCTTACCTCGATAGATTTAAGAATTCGACGTTCTTTTCTTTTCTTTTCTTTTCTTTTCTTTTCTTTTCTTCATTCGTACTCTTTGTACGGTAAGCTGCGAACGCGACGGAAATTGGGACGAGGTTCACGGACAAAATGTGCTCCGAATCACGGGTGGTCCGTTTCTAATCCCCTGAATTAATGGGCCCTCATGTGGCGCGTGTCGAGGAATACGAGTGGCATTTCAGATTATTTTTCGTCGATGCGCGACGAATCGGGACGGAAAATCGGGATTTGTCACGAAAAAATTCACGACAGCTTCCCTCTGTGAACCTTGCCTGTTAGACGAACAAAAAGAGGTATGTCCGTCGAAATGTTACTCGCGTATGATAAATGCTGTTGAATGTTTTTTTCACGGTGCAGATCGATTAAAGTGCAATCAAGAACGAAGAATAAAATCACGTAGTAAATTAACCCGTCACGTAGCCAAGCTTAATTACTAAATTGAAAGCGAAGCTAGGCAAACACAGAGAAAGCCCGTTACCGACCGAACACGTCCCCGGCTGCTGTTTACCCAACCATTTGACACGGACGAGATGCAAGTCTAGGGAGTCGAGATCTTTTCTATTTGCCGTTCGATTATTCCGCGCCGGTATCGAGAGAGCCGGAGGCTTCGTTTCAGGCGCCGTTTAATTCTAGCGCGCGCTTCGGTATCGTACACGCGGCGGATAATAAACGAAGGAATCTCGTTGTCTACCGAGCGAGTAGTATCGACGAGTTCGAATTCCAAGCGGGAGGAATTTTCTAGCGAATAAAGGTTCGGTGCCAAGGTGAACGCGGAAAGAGAAGGAGAGAGAAAGATGTGTCAAGGGTCGCGTGGCCTTCGGAAGACAGAAGAAGGTATACCGGTTATCAGAATGGTACACGCGCTTATAAGTCTCCGGTTCTTTGTGTCGAACGCTCAGCAGGTGCACTCTCTCTCACCGTCGAAAATCCGATTGCACGCTCCGGCCACCGTGGATCCATCCGACGACGACCACCTTCGCGGCGATCCTCCTGTTTCGTAAACCGTGAAACGTTGCGCAATTCGTGGCGACTCGAACGGGGAAAAAGAATAGCAGGAGAGTGCGAACTGGTCTCTCGATCGAAGCGCGAAGTACGATCCCGGGGAGTAGCAAAGTGACCTACAAGCATAATCTACGGTGATAACCTCGTGAACCTGGGCAAAAGTTTTCAGATCGAGAAAGCAGCGTGTCTCTCTGGCCGGTTTCTGTGTCGCTTCCTGTTCTCGTTTTGTTCATTCGGTTATTTAGCAAATAAATCGCGGTTTATTTACGACACAGTTTTTATTCGAACAAACGACGAAGTTCAATGTTCGGTTCGGAAAAGTGTCCAGAATGTCGCTGGCGCGTCGTTCGGAGGAACGTCCTTGAATACTTGGTTAATAACCGTCTCGTCTCACGTGTCCCTTTATCCACGTTCGTCCGTCAAGAGGAGCGTCTTAAGGTAAGTGGGAAAAAAGGAGAGAAATCAGTCCTGTCGAAACTCGGGGTATCCGTGTCCTCTCGTGTCGTCGTACGTCAAGTGCAAGTAGCGGTTCGTCGGCGTCCATCGAGGGAAAACCTGGAAAGTACGTTCGTCCTTTGTCAGAAGTAAGCTTGCGATACGTGAATTGCTATTGAGCAGGAGAGGCCGAAACGCTTAGAAAACGCTTAAATACACGCTAGGAAAATAGAATGGTAAATTTAGGGCAACTGTTAACACGTTTATCGTACAAGACGCGACACCGTGTGATACATCGTCGCATCCGACGATCGTGGACAATGCGTGTATTTCTTGGAGAACACGTAATCGTGTTAAACGGTTCGTAATCGCGTCTCGAAAGGAAGGAAACATCGATACGCGAAGGAAGGAGTTTCGATGTGTCTGAGAGCCCTTGGACCAGGGCAAATCGATGCGTTCAGAGGTCTGGCACGAGAGTGGCCGTGCCTAAATCCGCGTGACTAATTTCGCTTCGTGCCCACGAAAACCTTGATGGAATTCCACGGAAGCGGCCTCTACTGCGCTTCTAAGGCGTCTCTCTCTCTCTCTCTCTCGGGCTCTGGTGTCTTTTGTCGCGATCGTTCCGGCCTGTGCCGAGTTCAAGAATAGAAATACACCAGCGCCAGGGTTGTTTTCGCCAACTCGAGGCCATTTCGACTATTTCTTCTCCGTTGTTCAACGAAGGCTTTTCATCAGCGAGGCTGTCCTCGCGGGCCGAGCCCTAATAACGGCCTGGGAAAAGAAACGCATACCGCGGACGCGTGCATTTGTTAACGGGACGACGCGGCGTCTGGAGCGGATCGTGAAATTTTCACCGCGTGTCGCCGTGAAAACGACTGCATTCCACGGGAGTGTCTTGCACCGTGGAGTATCATTTATTCGTCTGCTCGTCCCTCTCACCTGGGATCTCCGCTCATTTATCCAACAGAGTGATTACACACGTTCCGACGTTCGAATTCTCCTCCCCACTGAGCGAGGAGCTGCAATTTAATCGTCATTTCGCAGCGACGCAACAGTTCTGACGAATGGCTTGGAATTAATATCGGTAACGTGTGCTGAGGAAAGTGAAATGATTAGGAGGTAACTGCACGTTTGCTTCCTCCTAGATCTTTTTTTACCATGCGTTCGAGAATTTCAACATAACTGTACAGAGAGCATTTCTTTTTTCACTTTAACGCGATTCGCAAACGAAAAGCACCGCTTTTTTTATCGATACGTATTTACACCGCCAGATCAAGAGCCAAGTGCATCGTATCTGTCCGTTTTCTTCCGTGAACAGATCGTCGCGCAGAGTCGTGTAAAACTTCCAATACGCGGACTATTCGATGCTGCAAAACGACGTCGGAAGGAAAAGTTCCAGAGATGCGTCCTTGCGATAGGTTCCTCTCACGCGTTTATCGTAGGATCGAATCGAAGCGGAAGCCGTCCACAGGGGGCTACCGTGTTTATTTATCGTGGCGCTGCGCCGCGGTCGGCTTAAAAGGGCGACAAAAACCGCCTGACGACCTCCGTGTACGCGACGAAAAACCAGTCCTCGTTGTACCGGTTGTAAGGCGTCGCGATCCTATCGACCTCTCGTTTCTCGCGCCGGCCCCCGTCCACCGGATTTCGTGGTATATACCCTCCCTGCCAACCGGAGTATCTCTGAATGGAGACGCGAAAGTGAATGGGACGCAAAAGGGCAGCCCGGCGTCGATCCCTATCCGGAACGATCGTAAAATCGAGACGGTACACGAATCGAACCGCGAACCGTGACGGAAACACATGTACCGGCTGCCACTGCGAGATGCACCGGTGGATAAAGGGGGGGAATTCATCTTCCACGGTTGCGTATATAATTTCGAGGATCTCTACGTCGAATTGAATTCGTCACTCGATCGATCCAATTTCTTCTACAGAGAAACTCCTACTCGTCGCTGATAATTCCTCTCGATCTCTTTCATCGTCGACGATAACGTCGTCGCGGGTACTACGAAATCCGTAAATAAATAACCGCCGCTTGACGCGGTATCTCGCGAGGCTGGCCAGTCACGGTGTATTATCGTCGACGCGATCATCGCGAACGGCGTCGTAAAATCGAAACGGTGTGGCCACGTGGTGAGGAATTTGCGAGAAAACCGACTTGGGTAATACTTGGAGGAAAAGTGACGGTGCCTTGGAGAGAAAAAGTTCCCAGCGTTCTGTCAAGTATAGTAATTTACAATGTAGAAAGGTGCGACGAACTAAAGAAGTGAACGAACTAGCGACATTTCGGAGGTGAGCGATCGATCCTGCGTAGAATCCAGGATGCACGATGTCCACCGGGAGTCTGTGCGCACGGTTGTTGCGGCGGCACCCGAGATCGCAGGTAAGGGACGAAGGAGACGCAGAAAAGCCGGCGGCCGAGGGTGACGGAGGGGGCGGGAGAGGGAGACGAATATCGCCCGCACGCATGCGCACTGCGTTCCGCGATCTCTGAGGCCGCCGGCCGGAGAGGCTGGCCTCAGTCGCCCGCGACATTCAGTCCGCGATACGATTCGGTGGAATCTCCGCGTGCTGGACTCCAGTCTTGCACAGTGTGCCGGTTCACGTCGGGAACGCGCGCGCCTTTCGATCGGCTGGTAGAAAAAGTGCTCGAGAAAGAATCGCACGAGAAGGCGAACGATCGATGGTTCGTCGAGAAGGGAATCAACGTGGTGGTGAAACGAGGCTGGGAAAAAGATGAGAAGAGGGCAAGCGTAGAACGCGATGGATGCGAGAATAGACGCGGAACGGTCCGAGAAGACGACACCCTGCGCGAGAAGGCGCGAGACGTGAGGAGAATCTCCGTTCCAAGGATCATCGTGTTGTACGCCGAGTGATTACCATCCGAGAGGATTACCGTTGCTTGCAGAGACACTTTCGCGGAGAATCGAGTGAACTGGAACCAGGCCAAGAGCAGCTGGTGCGCGCGAGAACGATTACTGAACTTGGGTAGTATATATCGATATTCGTTGTTCGCGCGATCGAGCGGTCGTGCGGTGTGATCATCGCGCGTCCACCACGTGGATCAACGGTGAACCCGTCACCGTTACGTTAATTCTCGAACCTCGGATAACCTCCCGGATAATTCGTCGAACCGATTCTGCTGGCACGCGAGTTCCTCCATCGTTTTCGCCGATCATTAATGTCTCGATCGTGGCAGAGAAGATTCGCGGATCTTGGTGAACCAAGCTACGTCTGCGCGACGTTCGCGATGCATCTTTGAGCGTGTTTCGAAGGCAGAGGAGAGAAGATCGCGCGTCGCCTGGGATAATGTAAGCTAACTGAGAGGAAAACCGCTCCGTAGACGAAATGATACTGGACAAGAGGCTGTTGCTACTGTTCTTGGTCCTTCTAATGGCATACGGTCTGTTCGTGGTCGAGGCTAGACACTATGGCCTGCACGAGGACACCGCGAAC